GATATATATATATATATATATATATCAATCAGGAATAAACTTAAAATATTATAAATTACAATGCTACTGACAGATTGATATAAATAGAAAGGGTAGGAGAAACATTTACCCTCACTGATTTACTAACAGACTGTATGTTATGTGAATTTTCTGACTTATTTTAATAATCTACCTATACCTGGTATCATATAGATTTAATAATTATTTTTCAAATATTGAATATATAATGAGTTCAGTGTTAAACCTTTTAAAAAACATTTTATGGATAATACTTTTTAAACTAATTTTCATTATGATTGTACCAGTTTGTGTTGTTCAAAAGCGACTTACTATAAAGTGTTAGAAGGTTAAACCTTTAGCTCAGTTGTTAGAGTACTCACCTGCCATATGACAGGTCTCTGATTCAACTCAAAGGTAAAGAAATATACAAATCACAAAAAAAAATTACCACATTGGCACTCAACTATAATCATTCCATGACCATGAAATATGACCTGAGGACAGGCCTTATTTGAGAAAGAGAGAGGAAGAATGTAGTAGTTTAACTTGTTATAAAAGTGACTTACTAGCAAGTGCTAGTGGGTTAACTAACCTTTTAGCTCAATTGGTAGATCATTTGCTTGGCATGTGACAAATTTTGGTATAAAATCCAAGGCAAATAAACAATTGTCTATTATTATAATAAATTACCACAACACCAGTTAACTTACCACTCCATTTTTTGGCCATTTTAAACATATTTGCAGCTCTGGTATATAATTCGCAAGCTTCTTCAACTTTTGATGAGCCTCTGGAAAAGAAAAACCAAAAACACACACACATAAAGTTACACTAGGGAAGATTCCATTTTAAAAGGATTTCTATAGAATAAAAAAAACAAAAAATTACAAATCAGAACATTCTTCTTCCGATGAACTTCTTGAGGGGAAAAACATGAAGTTACAACATTCCTAAGCAGGGGTGAAATTCTCAAAAGTAGAGGTACACAGCTAGGTGAAGTGGACCTTTTTTTGCAAAAGAAAAAAAAATCTATGTGTAAACATTCAAAAACGACAGAGCAGCTTAAAAAATAAGTTCTGATACTCAGTACTGGTGAGTACGGGCATAATTTCACCCCTGTTCTGAACATAATAATCCAAATGTAGCCTAAGCAGTGACCTAATCTATACAATGAAGATATAATTCTTTATTTAGACTCAATATTTCTGTAGATACAACCTAAGATCCTATTTGCCCTGACACTAGCAACAGCACTTTGCTTAGATGGCTTTAGACTGATCAACCAAAAAGAGACAAGATCTTTTACTCCCATCCCCCCTTGAAAACAGGAGTAATATTACCCAACTTCCAATCTTTTGGCACCTGCCTACTATGCAAGGACTTTAAACTTCCCAATTTTTTTTCCTGAAATGTTAAAAATGAATGTGATCATCTAGTTCAATTATGTTTCTATTTAGCAACTGTTCAGGGTGAGGAATGGTGCTTAAATCTTTAGTAGTGAAAAATAAAGAAAAGTAGAATTTAGTAGGACTATATTTGAAGGTTCATTCACTAGGGAGGAATATGAAAATAGTTATAAACATTTGAATGATCACCAGGCAGCATTCAAGCATTGTCATATTTTTCTCTTGTTACTAACAAAAACTGTGATAATGTTTGAATAGCAATCACAAATCTCATTCATGTGGAAAATTCAATCGTTTGATTTGTGTAATGCCAATTACTAAAACAAAAGTTGCTGTACTGAAAAACACGTATTAACACCAAAATGTTATATGCAGTAAATCCTTCCATACTGTGAAACAGATGATTATGATGAAGCACAAGGACGTACGATGAGTGGCTGCATTGCTTCAATAAAACATCCCGAATGCCTAATGAACAAGATGTAAAAAGGTCCATATTTATTTCCTAACCAAAGTGTTACTGCTACTCTATTATTTTTTGCTTTTTATTTATAATTATTTTTTATTATTATCATTATTTACTTGGCTAACAATTTTAAACCAGATGTATGTTTAACTAAACAAGTGTTATTCAAAAAAAAAAAAAATGACTGAAAACTATTCTCTCTCTTGTAACATTTTCTGTTATAGTTGAAGGTCCATACTTATTTTTCTAATTGAATTAATTATGTTACTCTGTTCATCTTGCTGTTTATTTATTGTGTTTATAGGGCATGTTTAAGTAATCATTTTTATCTATCTTAAAAATTAAATATTTTACACATTTATTCAGTATCCCCCAATTAATTCATTTGCTCAATTCATAATACATAATTCTTGTCACATTCCTTGAGATGTTAACCAAATTCTCATTATTCCTGATCTCCATATGCAGTAAAACATCAAATATCATTGAGCATAGATTACCAGCATCCAGAGATTTCCCAATCTCCACCTTTTCAATATTTTATGTATTAGAAGCTAACAATAAATCTAAAATAGCATTCTTCCTAATAGGTTCCTTAACCAATTGATAAAGAAAATCAACCTGAACATATAAATCCACTTTTTCTAGAACCCTAACTACTTACAACCCTGCATATCAAAGAAATTTCTATCGTCAAAATTGTCTACATCTAACCAAGTTTCAGTTATTTCCATTACATCAATATCCTCCATTCTGACAAGTTCCCTACGATCTAGCAGGTCTACCAGATTTCTCAACAAAAACAAGCCACTCCTTAACCAACTAATATTAAGTAATACAATTATGTTAAAAAACTATAGAAATACATAATAACTTCAAATATTACAGTGTGTAAAAAAACAAAAAAGCCCAAATCCATGGAAAAGTGTGTATTTTTTATACTTCTAGTTCTAGCTTGATGATGACAAAACTTTGTCAAAATGTACATTTACAATAAAATTTATTTCACTACTCATTCAAGTCATCTATAGACTATTCTAATTCTAGCATTACAATAGCAGAGCTGTAAAAGGCAAATTAAAAATAGCCCTGAAAAATCTTGGGTTATGGATTATATTTTACGCATTCTCCTGCTTTTTTCGAGGAGTAATTTTCCTAATTTTGATTCATTCTATTGCACCTAACAGTAACAATATAAACTACCCTTAATTTACTTTTTCTGTACTTTGTTCCTTCAGTAAATTTTTCTCCCATATTTTTTACTGCATTTAGTTTATTCTGGCCCTTGGCCTTACCACTGTCTATCCCTAGTTCAAACTTAAATTTGCTCTTATAAATTACAGCTAAATTAATAGCCTTGCAAACAAGCTTGCCCCTACCTATTTAACTTTAAACCAAATAGCTTCCTTCTCTCACCAACTTACAACTACAAGTTCAACCAATCTCTTCGCCCTTACATATTATCCCAATAATGATATACCTAATTATACTACAGAGACATAACTGTTAACATAACAAAAATTAACATACAACGGGCGGGAACTTACCCAAATAATTGCCCAAGAAAACCTTGAGCTGATCTAAGTTTCTTCTCAGCATCAGCAACAAGCTGCATTGCTTTCTGTTCATTATCCGCCATTATTTCTAACTGGTATCAATTAAGAGTTTATTGATTAGTATTTCCCTGAAATCTGAGTAACTAGCTTGTAACTCCAATCTCGAAAATACGATTGGTGTAGGAAACCGTTTGTCGAAATACACTTCTGTTTTAACCTTCGCCTTTTGGCCGGTAGTGGTGGTTTCTTTAATCAAAGGAAAGTCGATTTTACAGTGGAAACACGCTGCCGTCTACTGGTCTTCCTGGTAAATTCTCGAAATTTCTGTACCAAAATTATAACAATACTTTGTTAAAACAAAATCGTTAGTCCAAACTCGATACTCGGTACACCGTGGTTCAGATTTAAATACGGGGCTTATAACGCTAAAAAATCGGTGTTCGATATCTGTGGGTGGCACAGCACAGATAGCCTGTTGTGTATATTTGCGCTTGATAACAAATAAACAAATCAATTCAGGAAATTCGTTAACAATTCCAATATATTGATAGGGATATATCTGAAAAACGGATTATAATCTTACAGTTATTATTTCAAAGTGAATAAATATAAATAGAGCCCACCAGTGGCACAGCGGTATGTCTGTGGACTTACAACGCTT